TGCATGTAATATCTTGTAAGTACTCCTAATCCCGCTTCCCTCTTCCAGGTGTCCATACCCACTCAGCCGCAGCATTTATTCACATTTATCGCATCCAGAGCCTCCACATGCCCAGCAAGCCAAGAGCGCGTGAAGCATGTTCTCAGCTTGCAAATGCACTTGCTAACTCCCAACCACAGGGCGCACAGAATAGGTAATCCCTTATAAAATGCAAGCATCACGAAGAACGGCTCAATCCGAGACCATTCGGATGCATGCTTTCTGGTACTGGAGCCGTGGAATTGCGAGTAGCGTTGGACAGAACCTGGCCAGGGGCCTGTGCAGCCAAGGGCCTCGCCTGCCCCTTCCAATTGCCTCTCTCCCCCAAAAGGCACTCAATACCGTGCAGAAGTGAATCCAGCGATCACCTCTAAGTGAACAGAAGCCTTTCAAGCCCAGAGATCCAAGTATGCGAGGGCTCAGTCGACGACGCAAAAGAGCCATCCTGGGAAATCTCAAGCTGATTCAGTTTAGGAAATCGCAGGGTGGAGGAACAGGACAGTGCAGACAGCTGCCCAGGACCCAAAGATGAAAGCTCTGAGAAGTCACTGCCAGATAGCCACGTCGTAACCTCTCCTATGGGAGGCTGGAGATCAATACATACGTCAACGTGTGACGTCGTCTCATACCTAGCATCCAACTCATAATAGCCTTCTCTGGCAGTTAACTCTCTAAGGTTGCTTTGCCTAAAATTAATCTTCCCCTGCCCCGAAAGATGCTTTTGAAACTGGGATGCTGGCGCTGTGACCTAGTGGACATGGGTGCATGCAAAGAAGCACCCACAGCTCAGTGGTAGAGAATCTGCTTTCCATGCAGAAGTCCACTGGTGCAACCCCAGCATCTTCAGTTAAAAAGGAAACAGGGCTTGGGGAAAGCCCCTTGCCTGAGACTCTGAACAACCAGCACCAGTCCAAAGAGAGAATACTTGGCAGATAGACATATAGATCTCAGGAAATCAGATCTATTGTGAAGCTTTACCGCGTGAGGGTGGCTACTCCAGAGACACCTGGAAACTGAGTAGCAGAGGTTGCATGTATGAGCTGAGCGCTGGCCCCATTTCCCCATGCCCAAAATTAAGTGGCACTCTTGATGGCGGAGGTCTACATGCACTTTTGCCACCAGTCCCGTTTTTAAGCACCCACCACGATGAGATACGGCCTCCCCTCTTAGCATTCTTTTAAGTAGTGAGATCGTTTTAGTTGAGAAAGCTTGCTACTGAAGCGGCGAGCAACTGGGGGTCATCACAGGTTCTCCCCCACTTCAGCTGATGGGCATTAAGAGGCTGGGGGAATTCTTCCCATGCAAGAGACCATTCATCTCCTCGCGCTAACTTATTGAAGTGAACCACATGGGCTTCTCAAGCATCAACCAGGGAGAGGAAACATTACAGGCTAAGTAGATGGGACCATTGTAAAGGCACAAAAACCTATCTAGATTCCTGCTTAAGTTTTCTTTAGAGTTATATCTTTACCGGGCTAAGTGCCATGCTGCTAGTGTCTTTGGGGAACAGAATGTTTCGCTGCAGCAGATTGAAAACCTGCTTCCTAGAAGACCTTCTTGACCTCGTCCCTGGGGTTTCCCCGAGCCTGAATGGAAGAGCTTCCGTCTTGCACTATTCATGAACTGCTTATGCGTTACGCTACCCTTCCAGGCTAATTTTAACATTGCAAAACCAAAAGGAGAGGTTGAGCCACAACAAATAAACTCAAAAATTGATGGCTTATCCATATAAGCAATCTGCCTGATGAATTTCCATTTAAAAAATCCTTTTCCTTTTCAGGTGAGAAAGAACTCTCTGATAGCAAGAGCTGCTAGACGGTGGAACAAAGCACCTTGGAAGGTGGCAGATTATCTTGCATTGGAGATTTTTTAACAGGGGCTGGGTGGCCATCTGTCAGGGGTTCTTTAGTTGTGATTCCTGCGTTGAAGAGGATCAGACTAGATGATCTGTACCAGGCTGAGACCTTATCTGTTGTTGTTGGTTTGTTTTTTTTGGTTGGGTTTTGTTGTTGTTGTTTTTTTGCTTTCTGTTTCTTTTTACAGCTCTCACCCCAGGACATTTACAGAGGGACTTGGTACACACACATGTACACATCCAGCCAATGTCACATTTGGTATTTAGGGCAAAGAGGGCTAATCTCCCTTTACTGCCTGCAAACAGGTTATGGAGCCTCATTTAATTGCCATATATGTTGCTATCTCTGTTCCTCTTATCGATCCAAGATATTGGTTCAGCCAGATGTTGTGGAAACTTCAACTCCCATCAGCCCCAAGCAGCACGGCCAATGGTCAAGAATGTTGGGAGTTGCAGCCCAACAACATCTGGGTGTGTGTCAGAGTTTCCCCCTCTGTGCTGTAACAACTGTTCCTTCCTTAAGAACACAATCCAGGTACGCAGAGTTTTGTGAGTTGGCTAGGAATTCCCTCGGCAAGCCGTAACTCCTCCAACGAAAACAACAAACCTCTGAGCAATAAATCAATCACCTTTAACAGGTTATGGGCACAGGGCACCTGAGCAGGTGGAAGTCACACAGTTGAAGCCAGACTATGCTCCTACGCAGTCGTGAGTACAACAGGTGCACAAATCAAGAACCAAGACTTCACCAAAAGCTGTTGCAGGAGGAAAACAGTCTCCTCTAGAAGCAGATTTGTTTGTGTACTGACACACCCAACTGTCACCCAGTCACGACTTTGCCAGGCACTTGGTGTGAGTGTGCGCACGCACACGAATGGCATCATCAAGAAACTTGCCCCTAGCACATTCCCTATAGGAAGAGCAGAACATAAAGGATTTCCTATAAGTTCATTGAAAAGAGCGCCCTTAAAGCATCTACAGCAGCTTGGTGGAAGGGAGGGGGAAGTCCCCCCGTTTTCCTCTTGCCCTACCAGCAAGATAAATACCGTATTTTTCGCCCTATAGGAAGCACTTTTCCCCCTCCAAAAATGAAGGGGAAATGTGTGTGCGTCCTATGGGGCGAATGTAGGCTTTCGCTGAAGCCTGGAGAGCGAGAGGGGTCGGTGCGCACCGACCCCTCTCGCTCTCCAGGCTTCAGGAAGCTCTGCGCAACCCTCGGGAGACCGGCTCCGAGGGTTGTGCAGAGCTGCCTGCATGCCCGGGCTCAGCGCAGCTCTGCGCGGCCATCGGGAGCGGGGCGCGAAGTCCCGCCCCGCTCCCGATGGCTGCGCAGAGCTGCCTGCAGTCCCGGGATCAGCGCACTTCTCCCCATCGCCAGCCCCACAAGCTCGGGGGACAGCGGGGAGGCAGAGCGCGCCTTCCCGCTGTTCCCCGACCTGGTTCTTCCAGCCCCGCACCTGGGGGGGGGGAAATAAAAATTTTTTTTCTTTATTTCTCCCCCAAAAAACTAGGTGCATCCTATGGGCCGGAGCGTCCTATGGGGCGCAAAATACGGTACCTAACTCAGAAGTGATCGCAGAAAGGAAAGCTATTATCCTTTGGAGAGAATGTTTTCTGAAAGCAGCTTAACTGGGGCAGGCCCAAGTGCTGGAGCTGTAGTCAGAAGAGGCGAGATGTTCTCCTTGCCTCAACTGAGAGGAGACACTCAGATCTAGAGACCCCCACCCCCAAATGGAAAGATGCCAAGCAGCTACTTAGATGAGCCGCTGTGCTAAAAGCAAAGATTGTCCCAGCATAGGCGTGAGAAGGCAGATTTCCAGAATGATGGTGCTGGCAGCTCTGCAAAGTCAAGAGCATCTGCCAATGGCTCGTGGAGAAGTTCCCTCACCTTCCACCACAGTGGTTCAGCAGGTTTAAAACAAGCTTAGGTTTGCAAACGTGGCACAAAGTTGAAGCATACTCTTCTTGAAATACTGGAGGTGCTGGCAAGGATAAGAAGCTTTAAAGCAGTGGTTCTCAACCTTGGGTCCCCGGGTGTTTTCGGCCTACAACTCCCATGATCCCAAGCTCACAGGACCAGTGGTCAGGGATGATGGGAGTTGTAGGCCCAAAACATCCGGGGACCCAAGGTTGAGAAAGGCTGCTTTAAAGCCTCGCAGGCCAGAAGCTTCTGCTGTGGTTGGACTAGATGACTAGGACCCTTCCGACTATGCAATGCTAGGATTCTAGGATTCTTCTTGCAACAAGAATCACGCCCAGTCACTTCTACATCAAGCCCAAAAACCTCTTCGTCACCTTACTGCAGCAGGATACACCTGGGTACATTCAGACGCCCAATGGCTGTAGGTCAGACATACTAAAATGTCTGGTGGCAGAAACGTTCCAATGATTGCACTAGAAAATATTTATCATAAGCAGCCACAGGTTCTTTAAAAAAAAAAAACAACTAAAGAGAGGGGAGGGTCAATTCCACTATGGTTTGCTAAGTTGCCCTTTGGAGAATAAAACACAGGACACAGGCAAGTGGCTGGCAAGCAAAGCCCCCCCCATGAACTCTAGATCTTCAGAAGGGGCTTCCACAGAGAGGCGTCCCTTCCTGCCCACTATGGCACTAACTTGGCACTAAATTATGAGGCACCCTTTTCTGCTTGCTTGGGGTGTGCCAGGGGTCTTGGTCTGTCCTCCCTTGCTACTGTTTTCATATGCAAAGTCTCCATATCTGGGGGCAACTCTCCTCCCCAAATATCCCCTTTCCTCTGCCACTGCCTGGGATTAAAAAAATCTGGTCAAGCGAAGGGACGAGGGCACCGGAGAAAGCAAACGTTTTCTCCTTCCCTTTCTATGAACTCTCCCGGCTGATGTGCAACCTTTATCGCCCAGTCAGCTCTATAAGGTGGTGGCGTGGGCAGCAAGAAGGAGCCAGCGGGTGGTAAAGGGCAGCCAGCCACTCAGATTTACAGCCAAGGGAGGCAACACTGCAGACAGGCAAAGGCCTTCCATTAAACAATCTAGCAACAAATGGGAGAGAAAAGCTTTTGAAACCAACTTGGGGGTAGGGGGGCAATGAAGAAGGGATCACATTCTGACAGCCCTTGGGCAATGCATGTATGTGAGTCCGTAGATATTTATATTTAATAATAAGTATATAAAATATGATCAAATCAAAACCAAGTAGGTTTACAGGTTTGCTTGCTTTTTAAAAAAAAGAAAAGTAAAATATCACAGTACACCAATCATCCCCAGTGCCGCCACATCCCAGATGTGTGCTCTGCCATGTTGAAAAAGCATGGTAGAAAAGTGTTCTAGAGGAAGGCTAATGCTCTGCGCCTTATATCTATCAGGACGAAGCCTCGGAGGCCTCTCAAAAAGTTTTTTTTTATAATATATAATCCAACAGTTGCCCAACTCTGCAGAACTCCCCCCAGCTGCTAGTGACAGGCCTGAGGACTGCAAACGTGGATATCCTCATCAACTCCCCCCGCAAGAGGCCTGCAGTCTGCATGATGGCGCCTGCATTCGTGGCCCTGCGGCTCCAACTTCTCCGAGCCCCTCAAGGGACGCTGCGGGAGTGAGGCAACGGCTGGATTCTGATGACAGGGGACAGATTCACCCGGAGGATCTTCTGTGCTCTCCTCCGCAACTCGTCATCGGAAGAGCTGTTCACCTTGATCGCCCGGAACTTCAGCAGGTTCAATGTCGCGGACGCCAGATCTGGTTTGCCGGGGGTCGTTTTCTTCCTGTGCGGCAACTCCTTCCCCTCCTCCGCTCTTTTCCTCTTCTGCTCGGCCGTCTCCTGGCGGCTGCCGCCACCTCTCCGTTCCGTTTTGGCCGCGGGCGGCTCCTTCGTCCTGGACGTCCCAGTACTGGAGCTCTGGGAGGTGCTTCCAGAAAGCCGGCCGTTCAGAACCCCGGAGGCTTTGCAAGCGTTGCTCTCCTGCAGAATGCCACTCTTGGGTCCTTTCACGAGGCTCACCGACAGAGCGCCAGAGTCCGGTCCTTTTTTCGCAGCGTGCCTATACCCTTTGGGGTCCAACTGACCGGGTGGCATTTTCGTAGCTTTGATGGCCGGAGGCTGCCTGGACGCCCCAGCTGCCTTGAGGAGCTTAAGGTCCGAGGGTGAAATCCCAAGGCGCCCTTGTTCACATTTGGACTCCAGGCAGGAGGCTGTGGCTTTCAGAGGGACCAAGGCTTCCAGCACAACAGACAGTCTCATGGCTGGGTAGACGCCAGGGTACATGTGAGCAGGGAAGCCCACAGCAGATGCATTTGATGTGCCTGAGCGTGTCCGTTTCAAAGAGTTCAACAGGAGGTTGGTGGATTTACTGCTCTTCGGCAATGGCTTTTCAGAGTCTTTGGGAGAACTTACAGTAACGCCTGCTAAGGGGCCAGGTACCTTTGCTACGACCACGGTGCTTCGGGCCGGAGCCTTTGCGGATTCCGAAATAGGGGCAGCTGCTTTTGAAGTGTCGGGAATGCTGTCTTTTGCCTGACTGGGCATACGGGCAGTGCATGACATGTACCCATAAACGTCTTTGCTTCTGAGGATGGTGGGCTGGTAGCCTTCCTCCCTGAGGCCTTGGAGAAAAGCTACCAGCTGGGTCTCCGTGTCAGACAGGTCCCTGGACATGGGGTTGAAGACTCGCAGAGCTTCTTCCAAGGCCTTCTGTCCTGCGGAGGAGATCCTTGACCACGAATGGACTGCTTTTTCTTCCGCATTGTCCACCTCAACATTCATGGCATTAGGCTAGCGGGAACTTCTTAGGGGTCCAAACCACGTGGAAGCCAATGCAGGTCACCTCAAATGAAAAGGGGGAAAAGGCAGTTAACTTACAACCCGAGAAACAGACAAATACAGGGTATTTTTTTCTTCTTGTGTGGAGGCTCTCAATGCCCCAAGATACCTCTGCAGTGAGTTAGCCTTACCTTTCAAGAGCACAAGGCCTAAAATCACAAGGGGTCAACTCTGCCAGAACGCCACTGACCGAATAAGCACATTGTAGCAAAGCTGCAGAGGACACAGAACTGCCTGAATTTAAGAAAAACGTAAACCTAAACCAGAACTGTACACCAGTTAGCAAGTTGCATCTCCCCCCTTCCCTAAAGCGTTGTATCAGCCACAGATGTGATTTTAAGGAGCTACTGTATTTTTCGCTCTATAAGATGCACCAGACCACAAGACGCACCTAGTTTTTGGAGGAGGAAAACAAGAAAAAAAATATTCTGAATCTCAGAAGCCAGAACAGCAAGAGGGATCGCTGTGCAGTGAAAGCAGCAATCCCTCTTGCTGTTCTGGCTTCTGTGATAGCTGTGCAGCCTGCATTTGCTCCATAAGACGCACACACATTTCCTCTTACTTTTTAGGAGGGAAAGAGTGAGTCTTATAGAGCAAAAAATCCGGTAGTCTAAATTTCAGAAGGCTACCACAGCTGCCCAAAACTACCCCAAAAAGGCGAGCTCGGAGCAGAGGACTTCCTGTCCCGTCACTGGACTCACATTCTTTTACGTTAACACTTTTTCATGATTCAGGCGGCCATAATCCTAAAGAGATGCTCGCACAGCACCTTTAATAGATCATTGCAAACCTTTCCCCTGCCCCAAGTCTCAAAACATGTCATAAAGCAGTGCCTGCATCTTCCATTTGGGTCTACCGGTGTCCCAAAACAAATGTCTAAGTAATTTCTTCTGTTCAAACAAATGAACCCCGCCTTATCATCACCTTAAGCAAAGACTATTTCAAGGAAGTCGCTTACTAAGATTCTATTGACCACCCGCCCATCACAATTAAGGCTTTGTTCTTCCTTTTGATTCTATGGAGGTACAGGGGGACATTTTGATTCCCGTTGCTGATAACAGGAAAGAGAGAGAAAAGTTGCTAGGGCAATAGGTTGCCAAGAGGGTAGGGCAGATCAAGGCACAAGCTGACTAGGTAAAAAGGTGCTGGCGTGAGGGTGACTCAAACGAAACACACACTTTTTCATTAATACACACGACACCTTCATCATCTGGCCCATAGTTTGTAACTTATTTTCATCCTTCATCATCTGGCCCGTAAGTAACTTATTTTTTGAGCATGTGCACTCCTGAGCACTTATATTCTGTCATTTCTTTATTATTTATTTCAGGGGTCTCCAAGCTTTCCTTGTCTCGGGCCAGTGTCTCCAGCGACAATCGTGCGGCGGGCCGGAGGGTGGGGGAGTGCGCGCCCATATGCCCGCACTATTTCCAGCGCACTTTCAGGTCGGAGGAGCACCGGAAATAGCTTGTGCGCAAGCGTACAGGCCTCCTCCGACACGGATGTACACCACAAATAGCATTTGTGCACATGTTGTGTGCACACAAGCTATTTCCGGTGTTCCTCAGACCCGGAAGTGGGTCCCTGCGCCACGCCACGCCGGTAAGAGAGCCAGTGTGGTGTAGTGGCTAAGAGCGGTAGTCTCATAATCTGGGGAACCGGGTTCGCGTCTCCGCTCCTCCACATGCAACTGCTGGGTGACCTTGGGCCAGTCACACTTCTTTGAAGTCTCTCAGCCCCACTCACCTCACAGAGTGTTTGTTGTGGGGGAGGAAGGGAAAGGAGATTGCTTTGAGACTCCTGAAGGGGAGTGAAAGGCGGGATATCAAATCCAAACTCTTCTTCTCTTCTAAGAGCAGGCAGCGGCAGGTGGCGGTCACGAGGGCAGGATAAACGAGTCCCTCGGGCCTTATCTGACCCCTGGGGCCGTAGGTTGATGACCCCTGATTTATTTCAAAAAATTTATACATCCCTTGTTTGTTAACAAACAAAAACCCCTCAATGCGGTTTTACAAAAAGATAAAACAGTAAAATCCAGAAAATGCACGCTTCCCCTGTGCAGGCCACACCATCCTGCGATTATGTTTCAATCAGATAAAGAAATAGGCTTGCAGCGTCAAGAGTAGCTCTGCCAATCTCACGATGAGTCAAACTTCTCATCATAATGCCTGCAGGAAACGCTTGGGGAGATACTCGCGCTCAGGAACAGCTGGGATGCCGCTCAAAACACTTATCTATTTGATTGCATTCTTAATAAGTCTACTGAAGTTTAGGGCCCAGCAGCAACCAGGCCATATTACATATCATGTCCTAGTCACGGTGCAAATACAGGAGAATAATTTCACCGACGATACATCCCCCCCAAATCCAAACAGTCTCAAGAAGAGGCTAGCCAGCCAACGGAGTTCAGGAACATTGTCACCTGGAACGAAGGTTTAAGTTTCAAGGATGTGGAAACACCTGTTGCGCACCTGAGAATCATGGACACTCCAGCATGACAAGTCTGAAAAGTGAAGAGAGCACTATGAGCATGGATGAGGCCTCTACCCATAATACATACTGATGGTCAAGGACTCTGTGCCCAATCCTAACCAAGCCAGGGCAACTTCCTTCCTTCGGTTCTTAAGTGATGCATTTGACTCTAATCAATTTACTGGTTTGGTCCCATATAGGTAGCAACCAGCTTCCGAATACATGTTCCAATGCTACCATGCACTAGTTCAGACACACAACCTACAAAGCCCATTTAAGATCATACACTAGAGATGGGAAGGCCTTGTGGGAAGAGAAAAATTCAGGGTGGGAAAGATGACTTTCTTTTTGTTTTGTTTTTCTGAAAAATGTCCAACTATGAGAGGTGGAGAAACTTGTTTCAATCCAGGCAAACTTTCAGTGTTTTGTAAGTACATTATAAATATGGTGACAAATGTGAAGAAGCAGAAACTGATATGGAAATGAATGCTTTATGTCTGCTTGACACTGGAGGGTCATATTCAATATTAGTCCTCCTCAAGAGTAGATGATCCACTGAAGTTGATGAACATTGCTAACTTAGGTTCATCAATTTCAATGGGTCTACTCTACGTTGAATGTATAATCATTTTCTTTCTTTCTTTTTTTACTATACTGATGTTTTCTCCTGTTTGGCTGGGTTTGTTGCCAGTTCTTCATACACTGGCAAAATGACGGAGTTGCTGGATTCCTTAAGTGTGAACTGAATTGTACCGTTAACAACCATTTGTACATGTTTGTGGCTTCTTTTTTTTTGCCACACAGCTGTGCCTTGTGAAAATCCGGCCTTGGTGAATAAATTGCATCTTATCTGATGTGCAGAAAATCCAAAGAGAGGTTTTGCTTAACTGAGCTTCCATTCGGCAGTTAGGATTGGATTTCCACAAAGCACAGCCACGGAACAACGAGAAAAGCCCTCGGATCCGAGGCAATTAATTGGTGCACAATATGCTCAAGATATGAGTCAAACAGAAGTGGGAACGAGCCCTTACTCTTTGAACTGTGACTCTTGGACCAGGATAAAACAGATTCAAATATGCTGGTTTCATTCCCCCAGTACCTGGTTGGTTATTTGCTGTTTATATAGCCTTCTGGCAATATTGCTGCTTGGGAGTCCTTGCAGTTTCAAGGGCATTTGAACCACAAAGATAAACACTGCACACTTTCAGCAATGTGAGCTGCCACAACAACTGGAGCAATCACTTGAAAAATGGGAAATTCAAAGGTTGTGAAGATGGGAGTGCAAGGCAACCCTGACTGCGCCTTTGAAAGAAACTCCACTCCAAGCCCAGAGGCCAAACCTAAGAAGACACCTGTATAATGGACATTTGCTTGCCCACTGCAGTGAAGGAGCACTGCTATCAACCTCTGAATCTAGGAAGCTAGCTTATACTTACATTTGCGGGGGGGAGGGGGTACAGTATATTATTTTTGCTGTTTTTCGTATTTTTCTGTTAGATCCGATTATGAATTGTAAGGGGATTGTTTAATTTGATCGAATATTTCTTAATGGGATGCTTTCGTTAACTTACTGCTCAAATTTTCTTATATTTTGTAACTTGTGAATTATGTAATTTTCATCCCGCGAGCCTCCTTGACGATATTGATCGTGGAAAGGCAGCATGCAAATAGATGATACTAGACCAAACCACTGGTCCTTCTGATTGTTGCCGTTAGTTTCTATTGATTTAATGGTTTACTTATTGTCTGTATAAGATATTCTGGTTTTGAATGTTTTATGTTTTATTATGTTTTTATATATGCTGTAAGCCACCCAGAGTGGCTGGGGAACCCAGCCAGATGGGCAGGATATAAATAGTAAAAATTAGTAGTAGTAGTATAGTGGTACCTCAGGTTAAGAACTTAATTCGTTCCGGAGGTCCGTTCTTAACCTGAAACTGTTCTTAACCTGAGGTAACACTTTAGCTAATGGGGCCTCCCGCTGCCGCGCAATTTCTGTTCTCATCCTGAAGCAAAGTTCTTAACCCGAGGTACTATTTCTGGGTTAGCGGAGTCTGTAACCTGAAGCGTCTGTAACCCAGGGTACCACTGTAGTAGTAGTAGTATCATCTATACTGACTGGCAGTAGCTGGTTTCAGAAAGGCCATTAACAGCCTTACCTGGAGATGCAGGGGACTGAATTAGGGGCCTTTAGAATGCAGAAACACACTGCTAAACTATGGCCCCTCAGTTTAGCCAGTGGCAGAAGCTAGCAAGGCAAAATCCATCTGCTGTAGTAATGCTCCTCTACCTCACAGACCCTTTTTAAGGCTGTGTAGGCACCGTACATTTACAGCACACGACTGCCCCCATCCTGAGACTTGTCGTTTCCCCCTTGCATCGCTACAGCTCCCAGCACCCTTGAATGATTAGTTCCCAGGATGATTTGGGGGAAGTCATGTGTTTCAAATGTATGGTGCTTACACAGCCTAAGTCAGGGGTCGGCAACCTAAGGCCCACGGGCCACAAGCGGCCCACGGGGGGTCGTTTAAGCGGCCCCCAAGCCGAGCTGCCCGCTCAGCAAGTCCTTGCGCGCTGCGCTAAACCGCTGCACCGTGGGGATGCACTTCCGCTGCGCTGGAAATCGCGTCTGTGCAGACACTGGAGGGATCTCTGCTGGAGTGAACCGGCCCAGGTGAGGTAAACCTTGCTGACCTCTGGCCTAAGTCCCTACAGCACCCGGCCCTAGACTAGTGCATACAGTGGTACCTTGGGTTAAGTACTTAATTCATTCCGGAGGTGCGTACTTAACCTGAAACTCTTCTTAACCTGAAGCACCACTTTAGCTAATGGGGGCTCCTGCTGCTGTCGCGCCACCAGAGCACGATTTCTGTTCTCATCCTGAAGCAAAGTTCTTAACCTGAAGCACTATTTCTGGGTTAGCGGAGTCTGTAACCTGAAGCGTATGTAACCCAAGGTACCACTGTATATCTTTAGCTGTCCTCACATACACAAACCTCTCTCGAGTGACAAGCCATGTATCCCTCTGAGGCAAGGATACCATGGCCACTATTTCAATACCTATAATACAATTTTTTTAAAGCGCTATCTAATCTCCTGCAAAGGCCTCTGAATTATCCACGAGTGTCTCGCAGCTACGGAACTTCCTGCCTCAAATATCTGTCCATGACTGAGTTTAAGCATCTTCTGCAATGCCTGGGAGAATTTACCTGGCGTGAGGTAGCATTTTTTTTAAAAAAAGCTCACTCTTATCATTTATAGTGCCCCATTCTTTCAAAGGAGCAGTCCAGGTTGGCTCAGAATACAAGGAAGGCGGCAGGGGACATAAGCCATTTAGAACTGGCATAGAAAGAACCATAAGAGAATCTCATTTGTAAGAATCAGAAGAGAATCGCATTCTACTTCTAAACAGAAATATTTCCACACGCATTCTGAAAGATTATTAAAAAAGGCTGTGGAGGGAGTTTGACAGCTGCAAGGCCACCACCGAGAAAGCCCTGTTTCTTCAAGAGCACCTGTATGATCACCGTAGGTAGCTCAGTCGGTAGAGAGGGGACGCTTGAGTCATGGTTTCGAGCCCCAGGTTGGGCAAAAGATTCCTGCACTGCAGGGGGTTGGACTAGATGATCCCCATGGGCCCTTCCAGCTCTATGATTCTCCCTTCAAGGACCTCAATGGGGAGCTTACTTCATGTGACAGATTAGTCTGAGAGATGGTGGCTGCATTCAAAAAAGCACTTTAGCCTGTTTTCCGGGTGCTTCCTTGCCTGATTAATTTCTGCATTAGATGTAATCTTTCACACAACGCAAAAGCCATTTGTGGAATCCAGCGGAAGTTAAGCACTCAATTCTGTGTTGCTTCCAGGGGGGGAAAAAACCATTTGCAACACAATTAACTCGGAAATCACAGTTTGCACTAGAACTCCACGTGACAAAATCTGAGGCAGTATCCTGGCATACAGTTATTTTCTGCCGTATAAAATTTCGTGTGACACGGCAGCACAACGCTCCAAAAGCCATAGTTCCATAACACGACAGGTACTACGGTGTGAAAGTAACGTTAGAGATGAGGACAGAGGTGCTAGAGCATTATAGCCAGGAAAACTATCGCAATAAGCCCCATGTTTGAACGCAGGCTATGTCTTAGAAAAAGAGTTTCACATTCTGCTGAAGCTACAGCGTCCCTGATGGGGGGCCATCCAGCCTCTGCTTAAAACCTCTAATAAAGGAGAACACACCATTTCCCAATGAAGTCTGCTTCCTTGCCAAACAGTCTGTACCATCATCTAGCTTTTACTATCTACCGGTATGTGATGGCCCTGATTTGAAGATGGCTATACCATACTGCCTCTTCTCCATGTTAGCTATACCCAACTCCTTTGCAACCTTTTCTTCTAGGGCTTTGGTCTCCAGACCCCGTGTTAGAAACTCAGGTATATAAGCCAATCGCCAAATGGAACCTTAAACCTAGGTTACGGTTGCCGCAACAGAATGTCTAGGCGCCATTTTTCTTTCAGTGAGATCTATTATTATTCATTTCTATGCTGCTTTGTATTTTAAAGAGTGTTGTGGAAATTCTTAGGGTTCCTTCCTTGGAGTAGACAGCCAAAAGCTTCTAAGGAAAGAAGAGTCAGGTACACAAGGTAGGCTCAACAGAGATTTAGTAATCATTAAGACAGGGCCAAATGGTCAGCCACAATGCTATTGCCACAAGCATGGTCTGGCCTCAGCGCATGCCCATCGGCTTTTCTTATATACTCCTCTTCTATCAGGTAAATACATATGCAATCCTCTTACCCGTGTCGTTTATGCAATACTATTGGCTAAAGCAATGCGTGAACAGATTGTGGACACTCTGCCTGGCCTTCCAATTGGACACACCATATTTGGAGTTGTCTTCTCCTCAGAAATTCCTACTACCTTATTAAGGTGTCATCCTCAATCATTCCTTTTCAGCAGGTTTTGGCATGCACATTCTGTTACCTATCCCTCCCAAACTTGTCCTTGGCAATTCTCCTTGTTTGTGCGAACT